CAACAGCAGCAGCAGCAACCATACCTGGCGGTGGACACGCGTGAAGTGTCCAGACATGCTTTGACGGCGTACCAATGACACGGAATGTCCAGCACGGAAACACGCCAGTCAACCCGACTGGCCTCCAGCCCTCCTAACCCCCTCCACCCTCGTGAATGCAAGGACCATTAGCAAATTGAAACTACCAGCTGGCTCGCAGTAACCAGTGACCGTACTTTGAATGTCCCGTCGCTCCTGCGCAGGGCTTTTGCTTGTTCACTCGAGAGGAGAGCAGTGAATCTTCACAGCGCCTGAGCACGAGTCCCTGACCCTGGCGCGTTCGCTAATTCTCCCCAATTTGTTTCAACTGGCTTCGAACTGCCAGGGCCGTCTATCCTGCACACGGCCCATCAAGAATCTTCCATCTTATCAGCTTCTGTCACTCGGGGCAAACGAGAGTTCGATGCATGTCGAGAGTTTTTATCCTGGGCGCACACATGTTGCGGAGGATGTGTATGTGTTTGTTTGTGTGTGCAGGGGGGAGGGGGTGGATGTGCGTGTGTGTGTGTATTGGGCGGAGAGTGACAGAGAGCAAAGCAACCAGTGTGCGCACAGCAATGTCCCACAAACACCACAGTATTGCGAGTGAGCGACCTATTTTATTTGGAGGATTGTTGGCCAGGACACCGGCAGAGAGCTACAAACACCCTTTTCTTTTCGAAGAGCGACACGGGATCTTTAACATCCACCCGAACAGGCAGACGGGAGCTCGGTTTTATCCGGAGGACGACACCTCCGACAATGCATCACCCACCCCCCCCCCACCGACTCCCCCCAGCACTGCATTGGAGGGTCCGCTTAGACTGTGCGATTCCAAGCCTTCGGCGTGGAGGCTTGAACCCACAGCCTTCGGAATCGGAGGCGAGAATGCTACCACTGTGCTAGGCTGACACACAGGGCTGCCAAAACTCCTCAGAAGAACATACCAAAGCCATGACGAGGAGGAGCTTGTGGTTGGGCCACATTCAAACGCAGGTCCCAGAGTTTTAAGGAGAGTCAGACCCTCAAAATAAGTGAAGTGTATCATAAAACACACACCCAGACACACACACACACACACACACAGACTGCGTTATCTGATTAGCTTGCTTCTGACTCCGAGTCTCCATGGAAACCGTAGCCAGCTAATCAGATAAACGGGAGACTTATCTGAGAACACTGTAAGAGGATTCCAGGAGGGGAGAGAGTCCCTTTCAGAAACCCCCTACTCACCCCACCCACCCCACCCTCTGGAATTCCATCCCACGGTCCCTTTGCCTCGGCGCCCCACTTGCCTCCTTCGAGGCCCGTCTCAAGATCTTCCTCTTCGACTGCGGCTTCGGTCACCCTCCTACCCCCATCCTCCTGATCCCAACAGCCCACCCCGAGCTCGGGTGCAAATCTCTGCCCTCGGGACATCCTCCGGTCGTGAAAGGCGCTACACAAATGTAATGTTACCATTGGGGGTCGTGCATTCAGCCACTAAGCCCCGAAACACTCTTCTTCAATCCCTCTCTCTCCCCCCTTTATGAAGTCCTGCCTGAAAACTTTCCTTTCTGTCTGTGTTTATGGTCACCTCCCCACCCCATGGATCCATCACCCACCCCCCTCCTCCCCCACACTCCCCCACCCCCACCCAATCCCACCCCCTCCGCCACTGTTAAGCGGACAGCTGACATAGAACAGCAAAGAGCAAAGAGACGGCATGTACTGACCTCAAGCTGACAAGAGAGCTTCAGATGGCAGGAAGATCCCTCGGCCCATTTGATCTCATGCTTCCATTATCGCATTAAGCTGTTTGTTTGTTTTTTTTAAAAAAATCTCCAGGAAAAGAGGGCAGAAAATGGTGGGGAGGGGGAGTGAGGGGAGTGAGAAAGAATATGCAACGACTTCGCCTGGTGGTGTGACTTTATTAAGTCTCTCCGTCTCGCACACTAAGCGTGGAGACTGAAGCCAACGTTTCCACTACCACAGCAATGAATGTAATAGATTTCCGGGGGTTTGAAACGTGTTTAAAAAGTAGGTCAGTTACCATGTGGAGATTATTACTGCCTTTGGGAGCGCAGCCAGGAGGAGGAGGAGGAGGAAGAGGAGGAAGTGGAGGGGAGCTGTGTGGCCCCACTTCGCATTCGGTTACTGCAAAGCCTGATGCCTGCTCTCAACAGACGAGCAGACCCCCAGCTCAGTGACACCCAGCTCCGCTCTGCCACGCACACCCAATGCAGGGCACACAACACAGCGACTTACAGCTCGGGAACCCATTGAAGAGGAGGAGACTCTGACTGAACCCAGCCCAAAGGATCGTGCATAGACCCAGCGCCGTGTTTGGAACCGAGTCCAAGAACATCAAACGCTGTATAAATATCAAACTGCCGGGTTTGAGCGCAAGAGAGAGGGAAAAGCAACGGCGATGCCTAGAAACTTTTGAACCAAATAAACCACAGCTGCCCTTTCTCCACCGGCTACTAGACTTCAGGAAATTAAAAGTCAACCACAGTAGCCGCAGACCGTCCCTGCACGCAGTGGCTTGGAAGAGCACAGCGCACAGTGGCGCACACTTCACATACCCCCCCCACCCATGCAAGGTGGCGAGGTTGTTCTTCTCCAGCCGTGAAACATCAAGATGGATCACGGACCGCTCGGCCGTGAGCCAACAACAACAACTTGCATTTATATAGAGTCCCCACCACCCCTCACGCAGGATAGCATCCCAGAGCACTCAACGGGGGGAGGGGGAGATGACCATAAGCACGGTCGAATCAGAAGGTCTTCAAGCGCGACCTGAAAGCGGGGAAGGATGGGGCAAGGCGGAAGGATAGAGGAAGAGTGTTCCAGAGTTTCGGGGCACAGTGGCTGAAAGCGCGGCCACCAATGGTGGAACGGAGGGCAGGAGGGGCATGAAGAAGGCCAGAGCCGGTCGAGAGGAGGAAGCGGGTAGTGGGTTGGGGGGAGTAAGCAGGTCGGAGACGTAGGGAGGTGCCAGGGAATGAAGGGATTTGAAAACGAGTGTGAGGATCTTGAAATCGACCAGTTTGGTGATGGGAAGCCAGCGGAGCTTGATGGATCCAAAAATAACACAACCAAAAGTAACCCTCGCCTCTCGACTCAGTGCCTAAAAACCTCCCAATCGGAACATGGACAAAATTGCTAGACAAAAAAAGATCATCTAGATTGCCTTCTACCATCCTGCTTGTCCCAAAGTGGTACAACAACGGAGACACCGCGATTCACCCACAAAATATACAGTCAATCCACTTTACAGTACATCCTGTGAAGCGCTTTGAGTGGTCTCGAAGACGTGATAAGGCGCTGTATGAATTGCAAGGATTATTATTATTTTTATTATGCCTCAAAGCCCCTCGCAAGGAATCTGGTGTTCGTTGTTCGGGGGCAAATTCAACAGCCAATTTGCACCAGGCAATGTCCTACACCTATGTTAATAACACGTTAATAATACATCACCAGCCCATCAATGTCCCCCGCTTCATACAAGCACTAGACCAAACACTGAGCCGAATCAGGGAAACATCTGCTGAGGTATGGAAACTCTTGTCTCTACAAGAACAGACATGTCAACTACACGATCAGAAAGATCGGCAATCAATACCCATTTGAATTCTCACATCGCCCTTCCCCCCGTTCCCCTCCCCTCCCCCTTGACTGCTGTCACTGCACTTCTCATCCCAGCGTGCCATTGATTTCCCATCACCTGCCTCCGTCCTGCTGGCCTTCACAAAACAGTCTCTCCCGGTTCGCATGGAAACCCGCTAAGCCTCAGCGTTTGCTCCCGATCCAACAGCCACGACCGGATCAAAGGAACCCTCCGATGGGTCACTCAGGTAAAGTTGCCTTGTCGGGCCAGCTTTGGGCTGAGCCACACAGACCCGGGTCTGGCCGGGTCGCCGTTTTATGCGGCTGCCTGATCCCAGGGAGGATAAAGGCAGGAGTGAGGATAACCTCATCAGTTCTGTTAGGGAGAGAGAATCCCTCATTCACTTTGCGGCTGTTTGTGTGAGACATTGCTGTACACAAGATTGGCTGCCGAGTTCGCCTACAGGATACACAGTCACTACACTTTACAGTAAATCCCGGGAAGCGCTTTGAGACATCTCGATGACGTGATAAGGCGCTGTATCGTATCGAATGATTATTATTATCATCATCAGCTTAGGTTCTTGCTGCTGTTTGCAAGCCTACAGAGGTGGTGGGGGGGAAGGTAAGGTGTTACTCCTGTTTGGGAATAGACAACAGTGTGTTCCCTTGACCAGTGGAAGGCTGGTAACTGTATACATAATCATAATGTAATCTACTAATAATTCCCATTCGGGAATGTCCAATACACACACAGTAAGTTAGGGATTAACATGCACTTAGCCATGTCAAATCCAAATGGAGTCTTTCTGCACGGGGAACTTTGGTTTAAATCGTAACCCCCAAGGCAGAGAGTCATTCAGCAATGTAAAGAGGATCAGCTTTAAAATGCTGCGATCATTAACCTTACAGGAACTCTTCTGCCCCCAATTCACATTGAACAAAGTGTTGCTCGCTATTCTTCTATTAATTTTTCCTATTCTCCTATCAATAAAAATTTAGAGGACGCTGCTGTGCGCAATTGGCTGCCGCGTTTCATCCACAAAATACACAGTCGATTCACTTTATAGTATATTCTGTGAAAGTGTTTGAGACGTCTCAATGATGTGATAAGGCGCTGTATCCAGTGCAAAGATTATTATTATTATTAGGAAGTTGCCGTGCTCTTTCTCTCTCTCACCCACTCACTCACCCACTCTCTCTCTCCCTAATTAAGCAGAGTCTATCCAGCCCTATACTCCCCTCTCACCCTCACTCCTGAAAGTGTTTGAGTTAGGTCTGGGACCCAGCTTGCCCTCTGCAACAGGGCTGCAAGAGGCCACAGCAACAAGAAAAGTGGCTTGTTTAAACACGAGAAAGATTTGCAGAGGAATTAAATCGATTGACCTTACCTTCGGCCAAATCTTTGAGTGGATAGGTGGGTGGGTGAGGGAGGGGGAGGGTGGCTGCACGTCACCAAGTCACAGCTAAAGTAGTTGGTGAATTGGAACAAGCTCATTAAGAGTATTAAAAAGTAAGACTATCCCAGAGAAGAAGCAAAGCTTCATTGTAAGGCAGAACAGCAGATGCCAGATTGCTGGGCAGTGGCAACAAGCCTTGTTTTTCTCTCTACCTGTCAAGCCGCCCTGTGATAAATTGAAATAAAAGGCAAAACTGGAGCATATGGGAAGCAGGAAGCTCTTTTTCCCGTGAGTCTCAGTGTCTGTCAGAATAGCAGGTCACCCAAGCCATATGTTAATTGGCTTTGCTTAAAGGGCAAGGAATCACACCAGCTGTCTACAAAGCATAAATTAAAGGAAATATGTTAACAAAAGCACATGGATGTAAGTTAATTTGTAAGCGCGGGGATCGCTGGGACTTTAAGGCTGCTCGAGGCAGAGGTTCATGGCTGTTTGTGGAGCACTGCTGTGTGCAAAGTGGTTACCTACAAAATACCCAGTCACTACATTTTACAGTAAGTCTCTTTGAGTGCTTCCTGATGTGAAAGGTGTTCAATGTCCAAATAAATAAATCATCAATAAATATTATCAAATGGATTATTATTATAACAAATCCTTGCATTTGATACAGTAACCTATACAAAGACAAACTATCTCAAAGCACTTTACCTGCAATTGCTGTCAAGTACAGCAACGATGTCTGCAGAGGCTCTATCCGCATAGAGTTGAGAGTGCTACTAACTGAGCCACTCTAACAACTACAGCAGAAAAGTCTCCTGCAATCAGATTTGTGTTTTGGATCAAGCCTTTCCTTGACACTTCTGATGTAGTGCTTTGGTGACCCTGAATAGGAACACTTATTGCATTCATTGACTTATTTACTGTAACCATAGCCATCGTCGTTTAGAATCGTTCTGTCGGATACTACAGTTGTCTGTATCATACTTTATTTACTCTTGTTTCTTTTCTGCTTAATCAGCTGTTTTGTTGTTCCTAGAAAACACAAGGTCACTTTCCAACTTGCTTTCGCAGAAGCAGCACAGTTAGTTGCAAAGCCATCCTGGAATTGCAGCTTAAGCTAAAAAAAAAAGTTTTTTGTTTTTTTTGTCTGACACACGCAGATACCAATCACCAAACCTAACTGAGAATTCCATGTATCCCACCTACACTTGGAAATTCCACAGGTAGACTGTTGGAATGCAATATGCACTCTCTCTCCCTGGAGGGACCATCCCGCTTACCCTATTATTAGGCGCAGGTTGGCAAGACCCAAGGCTTTTTGGGGTAACTGCTGGAGTCTAACCAACTAAAACCACACAGCTTGCCATTGATATCTCTGTCGGTCAAGCTCTTCCCCTGTTTGTCCAGCTAGGCCCACTACAAGTTCGGGCTTTGGCTTGCAGGGTTAACAGGAGCCGAGCAGGATGATTCCCTGCCCCCAGTGACTGAACCTAAAAAGTGAATGCATAATTCCTTCTGGCAAAGAGGTGCAAGAACATGGCTTCACACTGCCTCAGAACACCATTGATGAATGAATAAATAATACATGCATTGGATATCAAGCCTTATCGTGTCATTGACAGGTCACAAAGTGCTTCAGCGTTTTTCTCTAAAGTGTGTGACTGTATTTTGTACACAAATGCAGCAGCAAAGCAATATCCTACAAACAGCCACAAAGTGAGTAATAATAATAATGATAATGCTCGCCTTTGATATAGCGCCTTATCACATTGTTGAGACGTCTCGAAGATAATGTATAATATCTTGTGTCCAAAGGATTGGTGGGTAGGACACAGACACTCGTCATTGTGAATGTCATGCCTTTAACACACACACCCACACACACACACACAACCAAGCAAGCAAACGAGACCATCCAAAAACATGGCACCTCCACCAATGTGGTGCTGCCACAACCCAACCCTGTATTGTGGGTCTCAAAGTCCCCGATCTGGGGATTGAACCTGCAACCTTCTAACCCACTGACGCGAGCCTAAGCCTGGCTTGAAGCGCTCTGGGACACTACCCTGCGTGAGGGGACACTATATATATATATATATATACACATACATACACACAACACACCGCACACACACAAGTTGTTGTTGGCTGATTATCACTGGGCTCTTTCAAAGGCAACCGTACAAGTGCAGTTCATCGACCAATTCACATTGGACCCTGGCTAACCCGTGATTAAAGCCCATTTATGTCCGAACATCCAGATGATATTCTAAACTCCGTGGCTGACAACTGTGTGCTCGGCTCCCGTTTAGTTATAAGTATCACCTGTGGAGGCAGCTGTCTGCAGGGAAGTGTGGAATAAGGTCAGACAGCTCGGTTACTGCTGCAGAATGACGGGAAGCAGAAGCTTTGCCCCAGTGAGTGACTGTGCGACCCCACTGCTCTAACGCTGATGCTTCCGAGGGTGTGTCACAGACTGTGGCCTTTCAACACCCCACCCCCGACTTTCTCAAAGTACTGAGCTACATGAGAGGGTCAGTCCCAACGAAAAGGAGAGACGGGGATGGGGGGGTGTGGGGTTATTCCACCCTTACACACACGCACTTAGGAAGACAGAACAGCTGAATATATATAGATCATTCCTCCTCCAGGATGGAGTCCGCTACTTGGCTCCAAATACACAGTCACTACGCTATGTAAGATATTATATCCTGTGAAGCGCTTCAAGATGTGATTTATCTATTGAGACGCCATATTAATGCACGTTGTCATATCCCTCCCTCCCCACCCACAAAAAAAGTGATCTGTCAAAGGATTATTAATAAAGGAGGGTCTTTATCTCCGACTCACCGGCACTCTCCCACACCACCACACTCCTCTACCGTGTCATTTTATTTTCGCAGAGCGATCCACCCAATTCAAATACGTTACTACATTTCCATTAAATCCGATTCTGGATACAGGGCTTTGAGATTCGTGCTTTATGTTACGGCTCCAGAGGTCTGGCCCAAAATAATACTGACACATCACCCGTGAAACAGAGTCTCCACACACATGGGGAGTGGCCCACATACACGCACCATTAGAAGGATTAAAGGCGTCAGCCTGGCTCGGCTAATAATCCACTCGCTGTTCGGAGTCAAAAGGTTTGTGGATTCAAATCGGAGGTTTGAACTCACATAGTCAAGGCTGATACTCCAATAGCAGTACTGGGGGAGCGCTGCATTGCAAGAGTTGTTGCTCTCCAGATGAGACTTTAAGAGCTGTTCTGTGCGTGTGACTGTTTTGTGACGTCTCCTCTCTGGCTCATTCCTGACCAAGTTCTGAGAAGTAAGGCCTTCTCTCCCCCATGTGCCCCCCCCTCCACCCCTCCCGCCTCCACATAAAGATTTGAGTTGACGAGCACGACAGACATCAACAACAACTTGATTTACAAAGCGTTCTCAGAGCCTTTGCCAATTCCATATCCTGCCAATTACCACACGTACAAGGTCGAGGATTTTGGACATTTGTGACTGCGCTGGTCTCAGCTACTGCCAGGTCTCTGGAGTTAGAAATATCCTTCTCCAATTCCCGTTGACTCTTTGATAGAGTTCCCAAAATTGAGAGCAGGCACAATCTCACTTTGAGAGGCATCCTTCCTTCCTCTTTCTGCCAGAAAAAATTACTAACAGGATCTCACTCACACTGGAGTTACTTGCAGACGTGTAACTTAATATTAATTAACACACAATGAGTAAGTGAGTAAAGTCTGGCTGTCCATCTATAAACGGATTGTTAAGATACCCGTCTATTAAGATTAATTGAGAGAAATCTTCCCAATCAGCTGACAGAGGTTAGATAAAGATGGCCATAGAGTAAATTTATTGGCACGGAAACAGACCATTCGGCCCAACTAGTCCTCATCAATGTTTATACTGCAATAATCATTGTTGTGGTTATGACCCCCTGGTTTTGGACTCACAGACATGAGAATTGAGCTGTATAATGCGCTACTGACCCACACGGAACAGGGAGGTCCCAAGTTCCATTGCCACCCTGAGCCGAATTACTCACTCTCAAATTTGGGCTGCAACTAAGTTCTAAAATATGCCTTCACAGCCCTGAGATGGGCGCAAATTGGCTTTTTTTTTATGAAAGAAAATCAGCCATAGATTCATTTCCTGATCTCTATGTTATAACCCCTGATGCAATACCACTGTGCATTCCTGGGGCCTCAAATTTCCCCTGGTCTTACTTAGTCTGTCAGAACATTTTGTCTTAAAACTCAAGAGAAGACTTTGTGCAATAACACAGAGAGAGAGAGAGAGAGGGGGGAAAGGAAGAAGAGAGAGAGGGGATGTGGAAGGGTGAGAGAGATGTGGGAGGGGGAGGGGGGAGGAAAGAAGGGAGAGAGGGGATAAAGGAGAGAAAGTGTTAAAGGGGGAGAGGTGGAAAAGGGGGAAGAGAGGGTGGGGGGGAGAGAAAAGGAGAGGGAAGGGGTGGGGAGAGAGAAGGGGGAGAGGAAAGGAGGGGGAGAAGAGGAAAGGGGGGTAGAGGGAAGGGGGGCAAAGGAAAAGGGTTGGGGGGGGGGGAGATAAATACATTTAAAAGAGAAAAAGTCAGGGCAACAAATAATCCAAAGTAAAACCTAAATGGAGAGACAGTGCAGTGTGTAAGTCGGAGTGAAAACAAAATTTCTGGGGGGGGGGGGGAGAAGGGGAAAAACACCTTGAACAGAATAACAAATAAACTTTAGATGTGTGTGTGTGTGGGGGGGGGGGGGTGGGGGGGTGGGGGGGAGAGAGGATACATTCCTCATCACTTTCCACTACAATGTATCTGTGTTTGGGCCATTGATAAAATCTTCTGGTGAGAGATTGGGTTCGCTCTGGGGCTGTGTGTGTGTGTGTCTCTGTGTGTGTGTGTCTCTCTGTGTGTGTGTCTCTGAGTGTGTGTATCTATGTGTGTGTGTGTGAGACTATGTGGTTGTGTGTCTCTATGTGTGTCTGTCTCTATGTGTCTCTGTGTGTGTCTCTATGTGTGTGTGTGTGTCTGTCTCTATGTGTGTCTCTGTGTGTGTCTCTATGTGTGTGTGTCTATGTGTGTGTGTGTGTCTGTCTGTGTGTGTCTCTATGTGTGT